AAAGAAAGAAAGAAAGAAAGAAAGAAAGAAAGAAAGAAAGAAAGAAAGAAAGAAAGAAAGAAGAGAGAAAGAAGAAAGAGAAAGAAAGAAGAGAGAAAGAAAGAAAGAAAGGAAAGAAAGAAAGAAAGAAAGAGAAAGAAAGAAATGATCGAGGTTGCAATGATCTCTAAAGGAGAAGTGCTATAGGTTAGGTATGACTCTGGAGACACAGAAAACAAAATCCTGGAAGGGACAAATCCTCAGAATTTGAGGCCAGAATGGGTATTAACAGGGAGAAGAATATGGTTTCGAATAAAGCTGACAAGTCTAGAAGGATACTGTTGGTTTTGGCTGAGAAGTTATTTTGGAAGACTTTAGAGGGTGATTTGGGTTGAGTGGCTGGGCTAGGAGCCAGATTGTAGGGATTTGAGGAGAGAGAACCAAACTTGTGTTTTCAATGTTCTAATAAATGGCATTTCAAAAAATGTATTTAGACCTGGGGAAATTAATGCTAACTTGACTTCAATTTATGATAAGGCTGAGCAACCCAACAGGCCAAGCCGGATTCATATACACCCCTAAACTTAGCAGTAGAAGCCCTTCCTCTTTCCACTCCTCCTCTGCAACAACCAATTGTCTGCCTATACTCCCTTCCATAATGCTTTGAGGAGGAAACCCTAGAGTAAACATATTTGAAGTGAGTGTCAGCTTCATATATTGTAGTGACTAAAACCTAGAGAACAGGAACTGAGTCGTAAGAAACAAAGAGGTCACTGAGGTGTGCTGAGCAAAGCAGAGACCTGAGGTGGGAAAAGATGAAGACAGGGCGGTAAGAATATGCCGGATGTCAACACAATTTTCTAATTGTTTGTGTCTCTTCCTTGGAGAGAATCCAAGTCCTTGGAGATTTCTGTGGAGTTCATAGTTAGATACTCTCCTCTCAAAAACAGATTTCACTCTTCACACACTTGATAGCATTTGGGTATTGCGTCCTCCAGTCAGTCGGATTTGACTGCTAGATTCATTTGTCTTCCAGTGATAGGATTGTTTGGAATGGCATACCCAAACACCAAATAAATTCCATTGGCTCCAACAAATATTCGCTCAAGAACAAAAACAGATACAGGGAGTGCCCAGTTCGTGTCTCAAGGAGTTTCGGAACTCAGAAGGATCTCTTGCTGTTCCCTTCAAGTATAGAGTTCTTCTTTTTCCTTATTTCTGTTGTGGTTGTTCATGTTTTTTGTTGTTGAAAGAAAACCCCTGAAGGCTGAATTGTTTTTCAAACTATGTATTTGTCTTTTTCTGTTCAGAAATTCCTATTTCTAGTCTCCGACTCTCTTTTGGGGTAGGCTGAGGATGGAAAACTTGTAAATATTCTGTCTAGTCATGGGACCATGAACAAAAAGTCTATAGAAATATCAGGAAAAATCAAATGTAATTATAGCATGAAAACATATAATTCCATTAGTGACGCTCTCTGCTTTTGAGGAATGTTCACTGATGCAAGACAATAAAACTGAACTCCACACTACTCCATTATGTTTCTGATGATTACTGCCCTAAAGATATATATTTCAGATGGGGATTCAGAAATGTCCTATTTAAAAGACTTTCCTTCTGGAGACTCGGTTGGTTAAATTCTTCTATGATTTGGCGATTTTTCTTTTTTAAGTTTTAAATGAAATGACTGAATTTCTTATATTCATGTCTCACATTCTTTGCACTTATAGATCAGATTTATGGGGCTGGGAGAAAACATACTGTTCCTCTTTGATTGCTACTTTCATTGATTCCACGCTTCTGAAGTACATAACTCTCTACGCTACCCATGGTAGGCAAATCCATGAAGAATGCATTTTGTGCATCTGATAAGCATGCGAACACAATTTTTAAAAAACCAACAAGAATTCTCTAACAAGTAAGCATACCGTATGGTATGATGAAAACTTGATTTGAGCACCCCACTGGAGGAATGCAACCCCACGGCACGAGAAGGAGCTGTGCACTGGGTTTCAGGCTATGGACGATTCCACATGACACTCTAGGGCCAGGACTTAGTAGGCATTTTGGCAAAATATCATTTGTTCGCTGGGAAAGTTTAGGTGTGAGATTTGCCGGAGTGTGAACTCGCTGTATTTTACTAAGGTTTCCAGAGAACAAGGCCTGTTGAAAGTGGGGGGGGGGGGGGGGTTGCGTCAGCCATGCCAAAGGCTTGGCGCAGATGGGCGAGGGACAGTCATGTCACGAGCCAAGGAAAACCATGTCTGTAAGAAGTGTTGATCTTGTTTCTAAGAGAATGTTTAGTGAGGGCTTACTTTCAAATATCGAGCTTCCCACCCCCATCCCCTGCAGCTTACTAAGTCACTGCAGATTACAGGACCCCATTTTTCCAGCTAAGGAGCTCCCAGACGTAAGAATCCAGGAAAGATGACCAGTGATTTGGTGGAGGGAGCCTTAGCAGGATCTTCGTAATGGCGGGCACGCTCTGCTTTGCCAGACTACTGTGAAGGGGCTGCCAGAGCCAGAAATTCCGTGGTTTTACCAGGCATTTGAGAGTTAAACATACTTCTGGACTGAACCCAAGTTTTATACAGAGATGTTTGCTCATTTTCATTAGATGTTTGTGGAATTATGGGCACCTTATGAATCAAGAGTTACTGCCTCTTTTAAGTTTAACTGTAGTGCATGCTGAGTTTAGGGTCTGAAATGAAGTGATGGGGAAAGCAGGATAATAAGGGCACTCGCAGGGTTTTGTGGAAGCCCTGATACATATTAGACATCTATAACAATTCCAGTAGGTTCCAAGTGTCTACAGCAGAGTTTAACATGGTGCAAACTGAACTCCTGCCAGTTTACTCTGTGTACTGCTCTATGAAAATACTTAAACTATTCCCAAGACATTTTAAGGGAGAGAGGGAGAGAGAGAGAAAGGCAGGCAGAGAGAGAGAGAGGGAGGGAGGGAGGATGAAGAAAACGAATAACTCTTGGCCCTTAAATGTGTGATTCTAAGCCAGATGTTACCAGTATTTAACCAAGTCAGGATCAAGTACGGCACTTCTCTGTATCAAAATACTAATGCCTATTAGCCATGTTAGCACAGAGCATAAATTGGAGCCAGACTGTCTGTCTCGGGGCCTCTGCCCTGCACTGGGCCATCAGCTGGAATCCCTCCCCTAGGGACACAATGTAAAAATATCTCAGGAGAGGCAGCAATTATGTATTTTTAAAGAAACAGGGAGTTTTTTTTTTTTTTTTTTTAAAAGAACCAAAGCTCTCGGAACAGTTACTCCTTTGGGACAGGATGCACATTTGTAGACTTGTGGGCACAGAGGCAGAGGATATGTGCAAATTCACCGCAGAAGAAGGAAGAACACTAGTGCTATGAACTAAGGTAGGGACAACTTGTGGGTTCGTGAGGACGCATGAACTCTTCTAATCAGTGACAAGGGATGAAATGAAACTCAGTCATGAAGCGGAAGGAATATTTTTCGATTGAGATGTTTCTCCATGACAGACAGGCGGTGGGCTGAAGGGTTCTCTGGGCGGCAGGGGAGATGGGGAGGTAGCTCAGTCGGTTGAGCGCCGATTTTGGCTCAGGTCATGATCTCATGCCTCGTGAGCTCAAGCCCCGCGTCGGGCTCTGTGCTGACAGCTCAGAGCCGGGAGCCTGCTTCAGATTCTGTGTCTTCCTCTCTCTCTGCCCCTCCCTGCTGGCGCCATGTCTATCTCTCTCAAAAATAAATAAACATTAAAAAAAAAAAAGAGTTCTCAAGGGGAATGGGAGAATGGTCTCAGGAACATCCATTTCGTTAACACATATTCACCGAGTGTCTACTATGTTCACATTCTGGGCAGAGAGCAGAGAATCGACTAAGCAAAGTTTCGGCCCTTGTGGGATTAATATTATTCGTGGATGAGTTACCTAACAGACAAAATCCAAATAAATATACAGCATGTCGGGTGGTTAAAAAAAATAATCAGGGTCAGCTGATGCAGAAGGCTCTGGGGATGGGTAGTGATGGCT